AATGATGTATTTTGATAAAATTATTAACTTTAATATAGTACATATTTATCATTTTTTGAAGGCTAGTCATTTTGTGTCTTGTTTACAGAGTGTTTCACTACCCTAGAATCATGAATAATATTATCCTGTATTCTCAATGTTTTATTATTTTGCTTTTCCACCCGTATTTTATATTGTCCATGTGGATATCTGTCCTAATAACACTGCAAACTTCGTCTTTACCTCACTGTTCTTCATCTTAAAGCAAATGTCTTTATGTGTGTGTGTGTTTCAGAACTGTCTATTCTTACACCAGAACCATACTGTTTTAATTACTATAGCTTATAATTATATTTTGCCAAACAGCAGAGCAGTCCTGCTATCTTGTTTTCCTTTAGGAGTGTTTTGGAAATTCTTGTTTCTTTTCATTTTCATATATATATATTTTAAGCAAGCTAACCAATTCCAGAAAAAAAAATCCTGTTGGAATTTTGATAGTTATATGCAATCCATACAATTCAGTATGTTGGAAATTGACTCTTTATAATACCGAGTCTTAAAATCCACGAATGTGGTCTACCTCTTCTTTTATTGATTGAGGTATTCTTGAATCTCTCTCAATAAAATTGTACAGGTTCTCCCTGGAGGACTGTAAGTCCTTTTGCCAGATTAATTTCTAGGTTATGTGATACTTTTTATGCTATTTGATATGGTATTTAAAATTCTTCATTTCTAATGATTTATGTTTTATTCAACAACCTTAAATTTGTTAGTTAATTTGTATTTAGAGTCTATATACAGTCAAATGTATGAATGTTAGATTTCTTTCCTATTACAGCTTTTCTTTTTCTTGCCTGTGGTCTTCAGTGTAGTAATATAAATGGTAATATATTTCTCTCTGCTAATTTCAGAAGGAAAGCTCTTTTCTACCATTAGGTTTCAAGTTTGCTAAGGGTATTTTTTAATCATAAAAGAATAAGTTTTAATGAACTGCATCTATTAAAATATGATTATCTCATTTAATCTGTTAACATATTGACTTTATGATGGATTTTTCCAGTGTTGACTAAATCTTGAATTATTGAGATAAATCCAACTTGGTCATGATGCCATATTTTTTAAAAAATAGATTGATTTGATTTACTGATACTTTATTTAGGAGATCTGTCCAATTTTTGGAATAAAATTGGTCAATAATTCTTCTTTCTCAGACTGTCCCTGCTGGGTTTCAGAATGAAGATAGCGTTAGTCTCATGAGTTGGGGAGCACTTTGTGTTTTCCTAGTTGGAAGAATTAACGTAATATTGGAGTTATTTCTCCCTTAAATATGTGATAAATCTCAGTAGTGAAGCCATTGGGGCCTGGAGTCCAGGTTTTAAAATCTGATGCTGTGTTACTCCACTTCCAAGAACGTTATGATAAAGCCTCCTGCGTCAGTGGTGTATCTCTGTACTCCCATAGTTCTGCCAAATTTTGCTTTATGTCTTTTGAGGCCATATGACTTGGTATATACATATCTAAATGTCTTTTTATCTTCCTGGCAAAGTGAATCTGTTCATTGGAACTATTTATTTTTTTTAATGTCTCGAAATGTATTTTTCTGAAATTAAGAAGCTACATCAGATTTCTTTTAGTGTTTATGATACATATTTTTAAACCTTTCCTTTAAATTTTTATCATTCTTTGTTAAACAGTTTTTCTAAACTAGTATGGAAGTCTTTTCCTTCAACTGGAGCATTTAAGCCAGTGCCAATATAACATAGTGGCTGTCATATTTAGATATAAATCGTCCACCTTCTTAGGAGCTTTCTGTTTGTTACATCTGTTCCTCCCCCTGCTCCATTTCTGTCTTCCTTTAGATTGTTTTATCATTCTACTTTTCTGAAAATTATACCCTAAGCTTTCTTTGCTGTTCTTTTACTGGTTACCCAAGAAATGACCATTTTCATTAATCTAAAATTTAATACTAATCTAATACTTAATACTTAATCTAAAAATTAATACTAATCTTTACCTTTATCATCTTGCTAGGCAGCATAAGGACCCCCTAATCTCCTTAACATCTAATCCTTAAATTGTATGTGCAGTTCACAATTCAGCCAGGGATGAGGGAGGAGAGACCATATATAGATTTTGGGGCTCTCTAAAATTCAGAAAAATCAGAGTTAGCCATGTAAACAGTGCAACACTGTGTGATAAAAGATACTTAGAGAAAGAGTAGTGATGGGACCAAGTGAAGGATCGGCTTTGGTGAGGCCAGCAATTTGGTCTTAAAGCAGGTCCTGAGTTCACTCATCCAACAAGTGTGTATTGAGAGCCTGCTGTTCGTCAGGCTTAGTGCTGGATACTGAGGCCGTCACAGCCAGCGCGTCAGAGACGGTCCCTACCCTCAGGGAAGTGACAGTCTTGACTCCAGTAAGAGAGACAGGTTCAAATCAAACAAAATACCGTGTCTTTCCTATAAAGGAGCAAGCCAGGGGCTGAGATATGGAATAACAGGGAATGCGAGGAGGG